AAATAATAATTTGAGAAAGTTTTTTAATAGTATAAATAATATAACAATACCTAAAAATATTCTATTGCCGATGATATTAATATTCGATGAATTATGGCTACTTATCGATAATTATCGACTAAAAAGAAAGTATTATTTATTTCATATTTTTCTTCATTTAACAAGCGTTGGGTAATTAGATACATGATTGCTTCTGTTATGTACCCAATTATATCTTCTGCTCTCATCATGCCCCATTGGTGCCAATTAATGTAGGGTATAGGACGGCAACGTTTCATTCACACTCTGCTCATACATCTTATACATGACTTTGATGAATTTCAAACGAGCATTTGCGAACCTAATTCCCACGCTCATAAGAAACGGATACTGATTATCATTTGTAATGTGACTCATACGCCGCGTAAGCCGCTTATAAAATTTGTGTCTGCCAATTGTGATGTCCGAATTCCAATATTGTTTAGATTTGAACAAAATATACGAGTCTCTCCATACATATATATGTTTACATTCGTTTCAATTGACAATTACATCAAAACGTCACGCCAAATCGAAAAGCTGTCGACAGCCAATTCTCAGTCGGCCTTAAACTCGCGCCAAGGTTTTCGTTTGCGCCCAAAATAGGAAAATCCAATCGAAAATTGTCTACGCAGCGTCTGCGTTTGCGATCGATCATAAAAATTCATTAAACTGCCGAATTGATATGATTTCCCAGTCAGTGGCTAATCGCAATTCAACACGTTGCTTTGCTTTGCTTTTGGGTTTGGCAACTGAGTTGTTTTATTCTTCCTCTTCTGCCTTCAACCGGTTCAATTTGTTGAACTATTTGCAATGCTAATTGTTGTTGCTGGGGGATTAGAGCGTTATTATAATACAGATATTCATCGGACTCGAGGGGCAGGCGCATGATACAGCAAATGTGAAAGGTATAAACATACATATATATGTATATATACAATAGAGAGCAGAGGGAACGGATATACTCTTAATGAACTGCGGCACTTGGGTATATAGCACAGATTTGTCAAAGGCATTTTTGTAGTTCATTAATAACTGAAAAGCCCATTGACACGCACTTGAATGGCCACTTGACAACAACTTGATAGGCTCTACAATTTAACGGTTCATTTGACAAGCAGACCCTGGCCGCAACCTGGCATGCCAACTGTTCAACAACAACAACAGCAACAACAACTATGCAATTGCAACACCTTCAACAACTGCAACAGCAGCGGCAACAAATTCGCAACCTTCGCAGTTATGAGAAGCAATTGAAAAACTCACTTCCTGTCGCAGCCGGAAATTGTTGCAGCTGCTCGGCTGCCTAGCTGCAAAGCGTCAAAGTGACGGCCACGCGGCGTATGCGTAACGTGTGTGCAACGCATTGCAGCTTGTCGCGCTGGCGGGCTGCGGCCCACACGTTGCACGTTCGTTGGCTTCGTTCGCACTTCGCAATTCATTGTCAATGGCTCGACGCTAGCTCAAGCTAACCTTACATAACTACAACAACAATAACCACAATAACAACAGCAGCAGCAGCAATCGCTAAGCACAAGCCAAGCCGAGTGAGCGGCCTATAAGTGCAGCAACAACAACAACATCGCATAATCAATTGCTGCAGTTGCTGCTCAGCAACAGCAATGGCAACAGCAACAGCAACAGCAACAAATGTTTGCATATTTTGTTAACATTCGTCAACATTTTCCGGTTTACAACAACGCACGCGCTTTCGAACAGCTACCAATTTAGTAGTGCGATCGCGCGAGGGATATTTCAAAAGTTCTAGCTGAAGAATGCAACAATATTATTTAATTGTATGATTAGGAATAAAGACTTTGAGTAATAATTAGAATTTGAGAGGGAGACATAGAGTAACAGACATACAAAGACAAAGAAATAGAAAAAGTGAAAAACAGAAACATTGAAGAAAAGGAAAATGGAGTAACAAAGAGGGAGGAGACCCAAACGAAGACAGAGGGCGAATAAATAGAATAAAAATGATGGATGAGAAATAGAGAAACCGATATACAGAGTTAGAAACAGAGAGAGGCAGAAACGGAACGAGAAAGAGGGGGAACATATAGGAGAGAGAGGGATAATGAATAGAAACTCTCTGAAAGATGCAAAAACAGACATACCAAGACACAGGGATTGAAACAGAGAGATATAGGTAGAGAAGCTAGGAGATAGAGAGAGAGGAACGGGAACGGAACGAAAAATACAAAGAGAGAGATAGAGGGACAGAAACGGAACGAAAATGAGAGAGCCACTGAAACGGGAAAAAGAGGGTTCTTCATCCTATTCTATACTTAGAAACAGATTTTGAGCAAACAACAAAAAGAGAATAAGGAAATATACAGAGAATGAGTGAGTGATCGAGAGGGATTCAAATAAGTAATAGTCAATTATAAAAGTAGATTCCAGGCTCTCTGTATAGCCCAATGCTAGAGTTTGCTAAACTAATCAAACCTACCTCTTCTATATGTTGTTGATTTTCAAAATTAATTTTTATTTGTTTGCTTTTTTTCTTTACTTAGTTTAGCATTACATTTGCATAATTTATGAATAATATTTTGTATTTGCTTTGCTCCTATAAAAAACTCTTGCAATCTTCCGTTGTATAAAGTTATATTTGAATATCAAAGTTATGACTATATGATAATTGGATTTAAGCTTGAAGTGCGACATGAGTTGAATAATCGGAAGAAGATCAGAAGAAATATAAAAAATATATATGCATATACATATATATATTGATCAGCCGCACCATTGCGAAACCTAATCAGTGATCGGTTTAATTTAAAGATTTTGCCTTTCGAAACTTTGAAAGATCTTTTGGGCTGCGGCCCACGCTCTTTGATTTTCAAACAATTTGTGCTTTTAATTCTGAAAGCATTTGGGTTTATGCAAGCCATTAATCTTCTTTTTTTTTTAAAGCTGTTTTGGTGTTACTTTTTAACAGTTAAAAGGGGTCTTCAGCATCATCATCATAATCATCATCGTCACCAAAGACTCCAAACTTAAAACTGAAATGATATATGATTTTAATTTTGTTCGGTATGTTGTTTGTTGTAGAGACGCGCGCGTTGCCAAAGTGTCTGGCACCGAGTGACAAAATATGCAAGAAGTAAAAAGAAGAGGAATAATAACAAAAAATAAACAAGAATAAAGTCAAAGAAAACGAGTAAAGAAGACGATCTCCTCTAACGGCAGCTTGAAGTAAAAGACGGCAAATTCCTCTTATCTTTTTTTTTTTTTTTTTCGAAAGTCAAAAAGACTTCAGTGACAGGTCGGTTAAAATATTAAAATAATATAAACAGAATATTTATAAACCGCAATACAAGATGACTCAAGTGTGTTCTTCGTAAGCTTTCCATCGAATTTGGTCTTTTTGCTCAAACATTTATTAATTTGCATAATAGGAAGCAAAAGCTAATAGAAAATATTAATTTTATAAGCAGTGGAAAAGTTTTAAGAATTAAAACGTTTTTTAAAATTCCCCCTAAAATGTTTCTGTTCATAACATATTTGTCTGAAGAAATAAGATGATGTAGCATTGTAAACTATATACACTTTTACTCTAAGATTTGATAAATTGGCAAAACCTCTTTAAGTTTCTCTCATTATCTTCTTAAATTGATTATAATTAAAATATAGTTTATTTACTATTTATATTCTTTTTATCTTTCAAAGTAAAGATCTGTAAAATTGTTTAATATTTTATGTATTTATAGTTCTCTGCCTTCTTCAAAATAGATACCAATTTAGCTCTCCTTCAACTTTTTAGTCAGATCTAAATTGTTTTATTTAATGTACTACAGTTTACAGAGAAACCCGCTACAAATAATATTTATTTATTTTATTTTCTGATATTCTTGATAAAAATAAAATCGCTCCCTCTTCTTTGTATAGTCAGAGCTAAAAATATTTTTGTTTTGTTAAGATTGTGTAGATTCGTCATATTCAGTGGGATTAACATATTATATTAAGCTATGTGATGTTAAAAGCGCTCTCATAATCTGTGACTGTCATTCTCCTGTCCAGTCTAGTTTGCCTTATGAAAAATTGTGAGAAACTCAGAAATCATCGCTTAATTATAACATGGACTCATTTGCATGAACATTTTATGTTAAGATGAGCTCTGTTAAGCACTCTGTAACTTTAACATGACTCACAACATAGCTATTACTCATATGTTTTTCCCTCTCTCTTTCTCTCTCTCTCTCTCTGCTCAACAGCCATTCCCATCGGCAACTGGACGCAGCCCGACATTGACTACAACGAACGCTTCAGCTGGGAGGGAGCGAATGATATGAGCGCTAATTATCACTTGGCTCTGCAGCGCGGCTTGCCCTTTCCCATACTGACGGTGGCCGAGTATTTCAGCTTGGGTCGCGAGGGTTTCTCGTGGGGTGGTCAGTATCGTGCCGCTGGCTACTTTGCCAGCATCATGCTGTGGGCCTCGCTGGCCTCGTGGCTGCTGATGAATTTGCTGCTGTTGGCGGTGCCGCGCTATGGGGCCTATCTGAAAGCTCTGACGGGCGCCCTGCTCGTCTGCACAGCTGTGGGCTACCACTGCCTGTTGCCGCAGCGGCCATTGTGCATATTTCTGGAGGGCGGACGACTGGAGTTCCACTTTGGCTGGTGTTTCTGGCTGGTCCTGGTTGCAGGTGAGTGGGCAACTTCGGTTCCCTCCCCTTGCTTGCTCGATTATCGTTTATTCATCTTCCCTTCTCAGGCATTCTCTGCTTTATTGCCGGCGTGCTGATCTCCATCATTGACCTGGTCTGGCCGCATACGTTCTCCACTGTGCTGGAAGTCTACTATGGCACACCTTACGATCGCCATGTCATACTGGAGGAGTCGAGCGATGTTCGCTATCGCAAGTCGCGCAACAGTCGCGGTCTGGAGGAGCCGCCTGGTCTCGGCTCGCGCATCTTGCGTCGCCTCAGCTCCAAGGCGCGTGATATGCAGCCGCATGCCACAGCGCCGCGACGCGGCAGTCCCGCCGGTGTCTCCAGCAACGGCGTAGAGAACAAGGCATTTCAGGGCGATGTGCCCAAGAGTCCTTGGCGTCATCCCTTCCGCCGCGCCCAACAGCTGCCGCACACGTCGCATTCAGCCTCGTCGCATCCAATGCATCAGCATCATCATCAGCAGCAGCTGCAGTTTGTGGGCGGCGGTCCAGTCGGCGCTCATCCCATGCACCATATGCAGCGCACCCTCTCACAGGACTCGGGCTCCAGCATAGCCTCCGCTGCTGTGCAAATATCACCTTTGCATAAGCATGCAATGGCCCGAATGCTGCCGTAATTTCGATTTAAATACTATATTTATTCAATATGTAAATAACATATATTTCCTCTTCTTCCCAGTAATCCGCCTGTGGAACGCGTACGCGACATGGATCACTGGTAATGTGCTGGAGCACACATCCTGGGCGAGTCCTTAACGAATTCTTGACAATTCAACAAATTCTAATTGACAAAACAAATGAAACAAAAACATCAAGAAAAAAAAACTCTACAAAACAATTTGTGATAATTTCTTAATTTAAAAACAAAGTGGAAGAAGAAAAGTGAAAAAAAAAAAACAACTAAAATTTTATAATAATTGACAAGATTGCATAATTTACCTGACGTACTTATATACAAATTTAAATCAACTTAAGCTTAATTAAATTATTCTATTATATCTAAGTTAAACAAAATTGTAATTTGTAAAGCTATCATTGAGACGTGATGTTCACTTGTGATAAGATAAGATAAATCTTCTGCCACACGACGGACACAGAATGCGTGCATTTTAGTTATATGTATGTAATTGTAAATCTATGTAAATCTATACGATTCGATAAATACGAATGAAGATATAGATACATAAATATATATTTCTATTAATTGTAAAATGTATTCCATGCCAGTGTATGTAACGATTAGTTTACTATTTTATATATGTAAAAACGTGTTTAAACTAAGTTTTTAAGTTGTGACGATGTTTTTAAAGTATAAATATATGGAGAGCAAGAAATGCAACGACCTAAACTCAAGACTACTAGAATATAGAGTCATGTTTTTAATATATATGGATCTGTACCTAAATTTATATCAATTTTTACAATTGCGCATGTAAGAATATTCATTTTATTATTTTTATCTTAATCATTTCGAATATACCTAAAGTTAATACCCATACGTAATACCTATTCATTACACCATTAATACTCTATACAAAGTACATAATATTTAAAGCCCTTCAAATTCATTCTGTTTCAGCTATGTAACTCACATATCACATTTTCAGCTTGATAAGGAAAATGCTTGTGATAGACTTAAACTATAATGGAGATTTTGGGAAAACTATTTTATGAATAATTTCAGACTACTATCATATCATCAATTTATGTAATTCACATTTCACATTCAACTGCATAACCTTTATAACCTCTAGCTGAATTTAATCCATAGAAGTTATATATATCCTATTCTATTCTATCATGGCTATTTATTTATGTTACGTGGAGCTCTAATTAATTTCATTGATAGTGTTTTCGATTGTGATTAGAAATAATATAAATTAGGCAGCTATGTAGATAATTAATATGTGGACTTCTTATCAACTTATATATGGGAAAACCCCAGTGCACTCTTGAAATTGGTTAGCTATGACCAATATATATTTGTTTATATATATATATAATATATCACAATAGATAACACAAGATAACACCCCTCAAACAAATTAACTATTTTTAATATATTATTACAATTATCATTTTATGATCTGTTAGATGGTTTGTTATTATTCTGGAAGGTTTTTTATTAAAAAAACTTTTAGCTTTTTTAACAAACATTTGCAGCTTTACATAACTCTATTGTTATTAACAATAAGTATTTTCTAGCTTTATTTAAAATAATTTATATTCTCCTATTTCAGTATCCACATATCGTATACTTGTTCTACATCTCGTCGATACACTTATTGATATTTGGCAAAAAGTTATCATAGCTCTCGACCACCTCGTTGGTGGCATCGACAAAACAGGCTTCTGTGTCTCCTGGCAGCTTGGCTATAAGCTTGAGGGCTGTGTTGAGCTTGCGGGTCAACTTCATGATGGCCTCGAAGAGCTTCCAGAAACACTTGCCGGACGTCATTTTGCCATTTTCCTCGGCGGCGCAAATGGTGCTGTTGAGATGAATGATATCCTCGCATATGGCGATGATGTCCTTGCAGCATTTGACAATTTTGGCCACTTCTTTGGGCACAGCCATGCCACAGACATCAATAGAGTCCACATACTTTGTGGTTGCTATCAAAATATCAGCAACGGTTTTTATCGTGCAATTGACACCGCGAACTGTCGTCAAAACTTTCATTAGAATTTTCTCCATTGTCTTGATGAAGCCATCGTCGCTATAGAGTTCCACCTCCTCGTAGTGGACGGAGTTGTCATTGATAGTGTTGGCCTGAAATTAAGAAAAGTCTTTTTAATAGAGAAAATATCAAAGTGTGAGTGCAGTTCCCCAACTCACATTGGAGCCCAACAGGCAGCTGCCACAGACGAGCAGCAGTAGGCAAAGAGTTAAACTTTTCATATTGAAAAGTTGGCGGAGAATGTGCAGCTCCCGAAACGAGTCTCCGCTTTTAAAGAGCTCATCTATCTCTATGACTTGGTCATATCACTCAAGTGGTTTAATTGCTTTCGCTGATAGATCTATTTTTTTTTTTTTTTTTTTTTYTTTTGTATAATACAATATAATATTTACTAGATTAGATATTAGATATCGTTGGTTACTTACATTTTGAAATGACTCAATATACAATTAATTGTCTTTGGTTGAGACTGGTTAGGTTAGGGTTTAATGACTTATCAAAGACATTTTGAGATTGTTTAATGTCAAGATCAAGAACTCCAGTAATAGCTAATTTTAAAAATGTTTATTATTTAGCTATTATAAAATATTATAAATATTTTACTCAAAGTGCTCCAAACGATTAGTTTATGTCTCCCTTAAGAAAAGATCCTATTACCAAATTTAGTTGGAGGGATTTAACTCTTAGAGGATTATTAAAACTTCATCATAATAATAATATACTATTATAATTTAGACTTATTTTAATTTATTATGTAAATGTTTTGTTATTTCTGAGTAAATTAATTTATTTTTGTCTATATTATAATTTACTCAAAGTATGCGGTGCGAAAGATTTATGATAATGTACTTTTTCAAGGTTTAATCTTCAATTTAGTTTTCCTAGTTCAACTTTTTCATATGTGTATTAAAGCTCTAAATTCTTTATCCTTGCGTCTTTGTATAAATAAGACATCGTATAGCTTTCCCTCTTTAACGAAGTTGGACGCTGGTAAAAGATACCACTTAAGAGCAAGCGATCAGTGCAAATATGCTGTTGTCTCTCTTTCTCTTATAATTGAGTTAGAATACTCTCTTTTTACATATGGAAGTTCATTTGAAAGAAAGAAAGCTTTGCGCTTGAGGAGCTTCTCTCTCCTAGTCTGCCTCTCCCTCACTCACACTCCTTTTAAAACACAAATATAAATCAATTATGTTCAAACGTGTGCATATAAATAAAAGCAAATAAAATGTACTTCATATGCACAGCTGTAAATAGACAGTTATATTGCCAGACACACAGAGACACACAAGCACACAGAGACTGAGTCCTGTTGTTATCGTACGCTCTTTGGTTTAGTTGCAGAAATCAAGATTTATGACATTTTTATTACAAAAACGAGCGCCGTTTGTTGTGGGAGCGACTGTAAAAATAATACATAGGACACACACAGTAAAGTGCAGTGGTGGGCAGGCGCTGAGCGTTAGAGTTTGAGAGCGACTGTTTGGGCGACTGCCCGCTGCCTGCTGACTTTAAAAATATGCAGCCAGGCGCATCAAGGCCTTATTTGTACTCACTCTGTCTCCCCCTCGTTCGGCTGTACGTTCTAAAGCTGAGCAAGCTTTGGCTCTGGTTTCTGCCGCCGCATGCAACGGAAGGCGCATAATTCACAAAACAACGGGACAGTCTAGGCGTAGGAATATGCAGAGAGGAGAGAGTGGAGAGCAAGCTCGGTCTCTTTCTCTCAATGTACTGATTGTTGTTGGCAGTTAGCATTTGGCAAATGCAATGCGAAAAATCTGTGCACCCGGACCTTAGGACGCGTTTTTGACTCTCCATTTTAATATAAACAAATTGCAGCGGCTCTTATTTATGATTTTTTTTCTCTGGCAAGCTGTTTCTGCTTCTTCTTCTCCTGGTTGCAGTGACTGCTGCACTTCTTTTATTGCGGCCGGGGTTTTTGTTGTTGTTGTTTTGTTTTGCTTTGTTTTGTTTTGCTGCTCCAATAAATCTGCAAGAAATATGTAGGAAAAAAAAAAAAAAACAAATAATATCTCGAATTTCAATATGGAAATTTTCGCATATTTAATGTAGTACACTTTTAGGGTTGCCAGAAACTGAATTCTTTTGATATACGTATATCTTGTACCGATTATTTATCTCCCTTTAAATTCCATTAACAATACGCATCAATTTGCATCGATCATTGGGCTAACAATATGTCCAGAAATACAAAACAGAATAACGGGAAATGGTAAAAAAAAAAAAACAATACAATACAATATAAAGTAAAAAATGGCGAATGGCATGAAAAATAAGATAAATTCCAGCCAGCAGCAGCTGCGCTAACGAGCGTCTCAGAATAGGTGGGCTGGCTGGTTCCTAAGGGAGTGGAGTGGGAGTGGAAGGGTGACAGCGTTCAATGGAGTGAGTGGCGTGGGTGAGTGGGATGGAATGATTGCTGCAATTTTTAGTTTTCTTGTCAAGCAGCGAACGCAAACTCTGCTGAGTAATGCGCCAGTGGGAGAGAGGGGAAGGGGGAGAGCAATGGAGAGAGACAGTGCTTGCGAAAAGTTGACGGCACTTTTGGCTTTTCGCTTAATACAAATGAAAATGGATGAGCTACTAAATGTTGTCATTGTTGCTGCTGCCGATGCTGCTGTTGTTGTTGTTGCTGCTGCTGCTGCATCGAGTGCATCAAATGGAATGAGGAAGAGAGGAACAGCAGTAGCTAAGCTCTAACCCCTCTCTTATACTCTTTGTCTAAGCTACGCTTCGGCCATTTCTTAGTTGTAAATTTGATGTCAGGCAATTGGATGAGTGTGCGTGTGTGTGTTTGTTTGTTTGTATGTGTGCCATGCCCTTTGAATGTTCTCTCACACTCTCGCTCTCCATCTCGCTGCTGCTGCTGCTGCTGCAGTGCATGTGTTTGTCTTTGTTTTTTATGCCATTTATTTATTTAAGTCAATTTCGTTGAGTGTGTTTGAACATTTTGTTGCAATTCGTTTTTTGGTTTTACTACTATTTTCCTTTAGAATACCATACAATAAATATAGGGTTGCTTGGTTTCAAATTATTTCTATTATATTTTATATAATTACTATTTCGATTCTAACTGTACAGGCCCTGTAATACAGGGTATTTTACACTTGTAAGCTTAAATGTGATTCTCTTTTTAATATATAATACAAACCGATTTAAATAAATAATATAAATAAACAGATATAATACACAAATGCATCAATACAATTACAGGGTAGTTGTTAGTCCCTCATTCACAGCACTAGCATTTACAACTGTTTTTTATGCCATTTTTTCTGTTAGCATCTTCTGTGAGAAACTTGATGACAATTTTTACTTTGAGTGATTGCAGCGGCATCGGCTGCAGTTGGAACTAAATGAGAGAGACAGGGACGGCAATTGAAGGGATGGGTGAGGCAGAGTGGTATTGGTGTAAGTTCACTAAGGCAATAAAGAAGCGCACTTGAGAAGAAGCAGAAAAAGAAAACAGATATATATGCTATACACAAACACACATGAATGAATGTATGTTAGTGTTGGAAAACATTCAAGTTAATTGGCTTGCATTGCGGTGCTCTGATTTTAAGTGTGTGTAAAAGCTTGAAAGGCAAAAGTTCTCAAAGTTGAGAGCTGATTATCACATAAGAAGAAATGCTTATTGGAGATGGAAATATCTTCAAACATTATAGTTAAATACAGAGACCTAAAGGCAAGTATACTGATATTTGTTTATTTATGCCATATTTAAATGCAAAATGGGTTGATTTTGTGTACTTAATTAATTAATTATTTCATTTGATTATTTAAATAATAAAAATAGTCATAGTCAGTTATTCAGAATATTTCAACAGTTCAACTTAACAGTGACTCTTAACAGCTAGCCAAGACGGCAACCCTTTTTATGCCTATTTTGCTCGCTCTCTTATATAGATGAAACTCTCAGATATTTCTGCTAGATGGCGCTTTCTGTGTACTGGCGAGTGCTCCAATGTGCGAGAGAAGCATACGAGTCTTATACGGAGCGCAACAAGCACAATGTTAAGCGGAAGTGCGCTGTTAAGTGTGGCGATTTAATGATCATAAGCTCCATATTGTTTATAAATGAATATTTTGTCCTATAGTCAGTGTTTTCCAGCAGTTCTCTTATTTGGTAAATGCTACCTAGTTAGGCATATATTTGGCTAAATTAATAATAAAATATAATGTGCAATTTCACTAGAAATCTTGCTGATCATAGAGATCAAGCTCAGAAAGCATAAAAAAATTGCTGAATGCAATTGCCGTTGCCTATCTTTTAACAGACTAAACACCGCTCAATCCTAACATTAGCCTGTGTATTTACAGCTGTTTAGCAGTTTCTCTCTCTCTCTCTCTCTCTCTCCTGGTCGGTCTCTCGTCGTCGTTGCTTTACATCGTCTCGTATTCAGCAGTTTCGCTGCTCGTTTCTACACTTCGTATTGTTGTGTCCGTTTCATGCCATCGTGCCATGTCGTCCTCTCGTATGGTCGTTTGCCTACGTAGTACGTACACGTATCACACGCTTCGTGTTTTGGTCTGAACGATGCTCAACGAAGCGGCTGTTGTCCGTTCTAGCTTCAGTTGAAGCTCAGCCGTCGGAGTGTACTGAACGTATGCAGAAATGCTGTCGCTTGTCTCGCGCATAAATCGTGTTCGTTCGTAACGGTGAATTCGGCAAAACGACGCAAATCGAAGACACAATAAAATTACAATTATCAAAGCGTTTGTTGAATAGAAACAAAACTCATATTCAGGTTAAACAAATATCGCCAAACCGATTACCATTGCAGTGCATTAACGGTAAATGTCGCAAATGTGTGTGCGTAAAGCAAGCAGGGGCATATCTCGATGTATTTACAGTTAGAGAATGAGTGAGGCGAGTGTTCTGAATTTCGTTTACAGTTATACTAAAGTGAAGTGAAGTAAACCCACTCGACTCTAGGCAACTTTCGTCACTTGCTTTAATTGTTGTGCTCTGTTCTATATTTTTGGCATATATTAAAAGCGTGTTAGCAACAACAACAACAACAACAACTCGACCTGTGTTTCTGCGTGAGTGTGAGTGAGTGTGTCTTGTTCTAGCTGTTGTTCCGGTTTAACTCCTTGGTCACGTGGCCAAAAAGTTTGAGCCATGTTTTGTGAACGGCCAAACCACTGCTGCCCTTGTGCGTGACACAGTCCAGCAACAATAATAACAACAATA